ACACACACACACACACACACACACACACACACACACACACACACACACTAAAGAAAAAGTTGAAAAGAATTTATTTGCAGATGGGATAAACCTGCTCCAGTAGGTAAGCCTTCTCTGGAGTCTACTTCACCGGCCCCCACTGGCATCTTCTCCAGGGCTCAGTGATCTGCTGAATTTTGCCCTATACAGGGTGTGCCATTCTCCAAGGTTTTCAACCAGCCTTATCTGTCTTCAAATTTATCTGTCTCCTATTTGCCTTCTAAGTTGTGTGCATTCTACCTGTCTTGTCAAACAGGCAGAGATTTCCGCAAACGACTTTAGTGAGTCAAGTCACCTTTCTCAGTGCTCATCCTCTCCCAGTGTATGAGGCAGAGGGGCGTACCCTGCTTCCTTGCACCCCCTCTCCCCAGAGGGCCCCCCAGCCCCACTGCCCTGGCCTGAGCACGAGGGAAGCAATCCCTGCTGATGTGTGTTTTTGTTTAGGGAAGTAGGCTCAACTGTGCTGAAGAAAAATGATGCAGATTTTAAATTTTGGGGGTGGGGGGTGATGTGTGCCCCCAAATCCCATTATCTCTAAACCACAGGAACCAGAACCACATCTGGAAAAGGAAATAAAGCCAGAGAGGTAAGGAAAGAATAGATTAAGAGAAGCCTTGAAAACAGGCTGGCATTCGGATGTGGTGGAGAATGAAGATCCCCAGAGAGTTTCTCAGCATGGGTGTGAGGTGATGAAAACAGTGATTAAGGAAGATGAAATGCAGGCAGGACGGATTGCAGGGAGGGCTGGGATCTGAGAGGAGGCAGTCATGCAGGCGGAGGAGACAGAGAGCAAGCCTATGAAGGAATCTATGAGTCTACATCAATTACCATCTGCCCACCCCGAAGTCACTTTACTACCAACTTACTACCAGGCTTTTGTTTTTTTTTTAATGCCTTTACTATTATTGGGAAGGCAAAAATAAACCTGTGAGGAGCTCGAGAGTTTCATTAAACTGATAATAAAATTCCGTCTCTGCGGATATAATGATTAACCATACGTGTACCCCGCTGAGCGCATGAGCCTTACTGTGAGCATGTGCGACACTCGGTGTGGCAGAAATGGAGCTCAGAAAAATGTATCTTAGGCCCTTGGTCATCACAGAATCAATAAGCATGATGAAAACAGAAGTTTTTTTCTAGAGCAGCCCCATGTGGGTGAAGCCCCTATGACAGAAGAGAAATGGTAGCCCCATCTGGAGTGTCCCGAGCCACTGCCCTCCAGGACCTACCACACCCTGTCCACACCAGCTCCTAGAGTGACAGGAGGGACAGGCCAGCTCTTAGGCGGGCCAGCACTGCTTACCAGAACTGTATACCCCAAACCGTCATGTTCTTTAGTTCTGGTTGCAAGTTGAAATGGTCCAGGGATCCCAAAGTTATTTTGATTCATGTTTAGATCTGGAAAGAGCCGTAGAGAGCATCTAAACCCATCACTGAAGAATATTTTCAAGCTGGGGCACCTGGGTGGCTCCAGTGGCTGAACATCCAACATGATCCCACGATTTGTGAGTTCAAGTCCCACTCTGGGCTCACTGCTGTCAGTACAGAGGCCGCTTCAGATCCTCTGTCCTCCTTTCTCTGCCTGTCTCCCACTTGGACTCCCTCAAAAAGAAATATTAGAAAATATCTATTTTCAAGCTGCACACCTTCCCCCGCCCATCTACTCATTCTGTCCCCTTCCCTGCTCTGATGCCCACCCCCAGTTTACACACCCTATGGCAGTCCCTGAAATCTTCCCCGGGACCCTGGGGCTGAAGAGAAAGCAGTTTGCAAAATACTGAAAAGTCCAGTATTTTTGTTTTGTTCTGGCATCTTGTGGCATATGAAAAACTAAAGCTCAGGAAATTAAAACAGGACTTCCATTTCTAAACATACGACACATAAAATAACCCTAAAAGCCTCCTTCTAGAATGCTAGAAAGCCTCCTTTAGCTAGAGTGCTAGCTATATGCAAATGTCCATTTCTGTGCATAAAAAGAACTCATAAAGGCATCAACTCCTCACTTTCAAAATGGGTCTAACCTCTGATCCAGCAATTCCATGTGTAGGTACAGGTTCCAGAACAGGGTTTACCCAATTCTTAGTGGAAACGGGGGTCAGAGGATCACTTTAGTAAATTGCAACCAGGATATTTTTTTAGACCAGCCTAAACTGGATTATACCTGAATACAAAATAAGGGTCTCGTTTTGAGGAACTTTTATTCCACATATATGTGCGCGCGCACACACGTAGCCTGTGCATGTGCTGGGTTTACATGTAAAGTATGTCCTTAACTGTGGGTGTAGCCAAAATATTTTGAAAAAAATGCTATCTTAGAGAACTTGTATGTGAGTGTAGGAAATGGGAAAGGACACTCACTGAAGCGTCGTTTATAATGAAAGTGCAAAATTCAAAGCAATCTAACTGCTCAACAAGAGAATGGTGGTCTGTTCACGAAACACTATAGCAAAGAGCAGTTAAAATGAATGGGCTAGAGCTATGTTGCTGATGTCTAATGCTAAATTAAAAAAAGAACAAGTCGCAGAATATATACAGCGTGTTTCCTTTCATTTAAAGTTTTCAAACATGCAGAATGTACACAGCAGCCACAGCTGAAAGATGTAGGTATCTACAGAAGAAGTAGGCAAGTCTGCAGGTTTAAGGCAGCATTTATCTTGGGGGCAGGAGGAAGGCAAAGAGGATCAAGGAGGAAGCCACATAGAACTCAGCCAGGTCTGAAGTGAGCTGGTCAAAACGTCAGGATAGCCCGGGACTCAATGGTGGCACACAGGTTTGTTACTGTGTTGGTCCTATGCTTTTGTTGATTTAAAAAGAAATGTATTTGTAGGGGTGTCTGGGTGGCTCAGTCAGTTAAATGTTCAACTTTTGGTTTTGGCTCGGGTCATGATCTCGCGGTTCGTGGATTTGAGCCCCCTGCATCAGGCTCTGCATGGACAGTGTGGAGCCTGCTTGGGATTCTCTGTCTCCCTCTCTCTCTGCCCCTCTCCTGCTGCTCACTCTCTCTCGAAATGAGTAAACAAACATGAAAAAAACGTATTTGTCAGTCACACGTACTCACCAAGACCAGACGGCTGACGGGTGGTAGGGTCACCTGGAAGAAACCCAGGGCAGGACCCTGGCTCCCAATCCGGTTGTCTTTCCACACAGCTCCCAGTTCATGATCTGTTTGCGAATGAAGGATATGCATCATTTTGGTCCTTATCTACATAATTTATTTTTACCTGAGAGATACTGTTCCCTGCAGCCCACCAAGGCCACATCTGCTCTGGCCAGAAATAGCACATAGTGCACTCACTATGTGAAGCTGAGCGGCTGATTCATAGTTTGCATCTTGGCTCTGTTTTCCAGCCTTGCTCGTGCATTGCAAAAAAAAAAAAAAAAAAGGTAAACCACTGAAAGGTCAGTAGAGAGATAATCTAAACCAAAAATTATAAAAAAAAAAAAAAAAAAAAAAGAGAGAGAGAGAGAGAGAAAGAGAGAAACACAAAGGGGGGAGGGAGAATCAGTTCTGTGTGAGGAAATACACAAATTCACAGGTAGCGATCAAATTAAAGAATATTATTGAGAAAACTTAAGCAAACAGGGAATGTATTTTAGATGACAGGACTAACTTGAAACAGTACCCTTTTTACAGCCTTTAGGCATGAATACACAATCTAATAGCAGTGGGTTCATTAATTTTTTTCCTAGTCTACAAAAACCAGACGAAGGATACCTTGCCAAGGACCGGAGGATCGTACGCAGCGATTGATCGTGCTTTGCAAAAGTTCAGGGCACTGGTTTTTATCACTGGATCTTTCCTACTCTTCAAGTTACATAAGAGGCTCTGACTTCTCTTTATTCTGTAAGCAGTATAATTCCAGGCAAGCTTTAGCCTCTCCGGTGGGTGAGCCAGAAACTTCTGCTGTTGGAGGGGTGACGGTGACAGAAAAAGAAAATACCATTGTAGTAGAGGGCCTGGAAGAGATCACTCTCCAGAGTCAAGGTGTGAAGTGCACATGACTGTGTCTTATAGATACTTCTCACCCTGGGATGTCTACCAGTCATCAGGAATTGTGAACACACTCTTCGTACCGCTAGAGAAAATGCAGAATTCTGTAGCAGAGTTGCTTCTGTTGTGTGGACAGCAAATGGGGGCAACAATGGACATTTACTGAGCACATGCCTTTTCTGAATGCTTTACCTCTTTCACCTACCTTCCCAGGAAGGTACTACTGCTAGCCCCATTGTATAGCTCTGAAAATTGAGGCAGGGCTAGGTTAAGTGATGGATGCCTCCAGTCACCTGAAGTGCTGGAACTGAGCCCGCTGGTTCTAATGGACTGGGCTTTTACATGCCACACTATGTCCGGGAGGTGGCATTTAACCAAGCTATTGAGATGACAGCACCAAGTTACGTTAGGATCCGTGGGGGCCCTGCCTCAGATCTGGGGGCTGGAAGAGGGAAGTGTTCACCCGCCAAGGTAAGGGGTGGTTCACTATAAGTCACAGCCTCTCCTTAGAGCTCTAGCACCTGAGAACACCGGCTGTGCACCCCATGCTGCCTGAGTTATGGCTAATTTCTGTTTTGCCCCTCCCCCACCAAGGACAAAAGTAGAGATGGACTTGGGAGGACCATTAAATAAAAACCAAGCTGGAGTTGAGTTTTGCCACCTACTAACTAAATGGATTCATCCCCCTCACTTTCCTGGCCTGTGAAATGAGAAAATGGCCACCACATAGGATGGGAAGTCAAACCAGACAGAGGCACGGGGAGCTTTATACAGGGCGTTGATGCGTGAGGTTGTATTCTTTGTTCCCTTAAGTCACGGCGAATGTTACAACAAGACGCGGTAAACGTCTGAGAAAGATGCTTGTGGGTCCCAAACAGTCTTTCTCCGTAGTGTGAATATTAACCTTGGTCGGGCCATTCCCCCTTTATCCCCATCTGTAAGAGGAGGGGTATTAATCACCAAAGTGTCTTTCAATTTTGGTATTTTGGGATTGGTCCCAGATCTAGGAGAAGTGAACCAGGTTTCAAAATGGTAGTTTGGGCACTTCCTCACCAGCTTGCCCTCCTAAGGTGAACAGTCCTCACAATCCTGGGGTCCCGCTAATGACACAGGGCCCTGGAGGAAACCTAACAGCCCAGGGAGATTGCGACAGTGGTTCTCATTGCCCCCAAGGTCAAGTGTTAGAGAAAAGAGAACTGGATTCTCTACCAGAACTAGGTGAATATCTGGTTCCTCAGGCAACCTGCCACTTTTGTTCTGGATACTGACAGATACATGAGGTCCGGAGTGCAGTGCAGGAGGACCTGTGAGGAAGCTTCTAGCCCTGTGACCTCAGGGGACTGCTTTACGGATAAGTATCCCTTGAAAATGATGTCAGGCCTGGTTAAGTGTCCGACTTCGGCTCAGGTCATGATCTCGCAGTTCCTGAGTTCGAGCCTCACATCAGGCTCTGTGCTGACAGCTCAGAGCCTGGAGCCTGCTTCAGATTCTCTGTCTCCTTGCTTTCTGCCCCTCCCCAGCTCATGCTCTGTCTCTCTCAAAAATAAACTGGGATGGGATGGGAGATGGGAGATGGGAGATGGGAGATGGGAGATGGGAGATGGGAGATGGGAGATGGGAGATGGGAAGGGAAGGGAAGGGAAGGGAAGGGAAGGGAAGGGAAGGGAAGGGAAGAAAATGATGTCAGGTCTGACCAGCCATGGCAGGCTGGGAGCCACAGCTGGTGGGGAGGGGAAGGTACCAGGCTTCCTACTTCTCTGCATTGGCCTTTCCACAGGGAAACGCCCAGTGTGGTGACGGTAATTTGAGGTGACTGTGGCATGGTGCTGAAGCAGCTACAAGCCCTCTGGATGCTATGCCAGTCTTTCCAGAATGGGGTGGACCCCATTCCAAAGGAAGTCGGGCCCCCGGGGAGCCTCAGGGCTGCGGCCAAGCACAACGGGTCCATTCTCGAAGGGAAAGGACAGCAGTCACTCTGATCACAGTCTATTACACAGACCCTCCCCAGCCATCCCATCCCCCCGGGCTCTCACAGCCTGAAGCAGAGGCCATGGGAAAAGTCACCTGTGCCACAGGAAATCCTGTCGGCAGCCTTGAGATATATAACGAGCCTGAGAATCCAGCGGCCAGAGGGGTTGGCAAGCAAGAGATGAACACGGGCAGCCCAGGGGACCCCTGTTAAGGATGCATTCTGTGTCTCTAGCAGGCATGCTTGCTCCTGCCCAGGACTCTGCACCAGCATCCCTCCCGAAGCCTGGGTCTCTTCTCACACGGCTGGCTCCTTTCTGCAACTCAACTTTCACTTCAAATATCACCATTTCAGGCTTGCCATGCACACACCTCCTATACATTCCCACCGTGACACCCCTTTCCCATTTCATACAGCACCTCCCGCTTCCTCAAAGGACTCCCTTGGTTTATGATTCTTGTTTAGTGCCTGTTTTCCCTTTAGAATGTCAGCTTAATGAGAGTCCGCACCTTCTCTGTCTTCTCCAGTCTATCCCCAGTACCTGGAAAAACACCTAGTAGATAGCAAGGGATCAATAAAATCAGTACAATTAGTTAATTAACGAGTTGATTAATTCTATCTAGGACAGGTGTTCCGGGTTCTGCAGCCGTGGTGAGATCTCAAGGCTCCAGATGGCTTTCATAGACAGTTTTGACTCTCTCTCCCTTAAAGATCTGAGACTCCTGCTCTGATCATGGGGACTTGGCTCCCACCATCGTATTTATACTAACTAATTTTTCACCTAGAAATGGTTTTGGTTGCAAGTATATTAGGTAAAGTGTACTGTGATTTCAAGTACCAGGGTACCATTTTTCTCGAATAAGCACAAATCAGGAGGTGTTCGGTCCAGCGTCACTGTGGCGGCTTCGCTGTAGAAGGACCTTGCTCTTTCTCCTTTGCACCCTCTGTTCCTAGCACAAAACTTTCATCCGGTGCTTGTCACTTCATGGTCTCAACATGGCTGCTGCATCGCCAGGCATTGGGTCCAAATGCCAGAGACGGGGCAAAGCAAAAGAAGAAAGAGCCATGTCCCATGATTCTGTTGCTCCTTTTTATTGAGAAGACAAAAGCTTTTCCGGCATCCGTATCCAGCCTCTTTCTATTTACATCTCCTACATTAGTCTTGGGTCACATGGCCACCCCTAGGCCAGTTACTGACAAAGGGAAATCACATTACTGTGACTGGTTTAGACTGTCACCATTCATCCCCTGGGGCTGGAGAGAGGACAAATTTCCCTCAAGATCAAAGTATTGCCACTCTCTCCCAAACAAACAGATGTGTCATAGCTAAATGGACCAGAGTGGACGTTTACCCAAAATGAGAGCTGAGCCTCACAAAAACAGAGTTAAAGGCAGATCCCTGGAGCTCTCATGCTTCTGAACTTTCTTAAGATGTGGCTGTTCAAACTGTTTCAATTCCATCATGTGCTCAAATACCTACCCAAAATATTTTCTTTTTCCCTTAAGCTAGCTCAAAATCACTTCTGAGGGTCTTTGTTGTAGCCGCATCTAACTATGAGCATCCTGCCCAATCAGGCTGAGGTGCGTGGCTGCTCTAGGACATCTGACAGTCTATTCACACCTCCTTCAACCACGTCGCAGCCCTTTATACCCAACACTCTGTGCCTCCGGAGGTGACCCAAACACTTAGACATGATGTCATCAGCCTGACAACCTCCTTCTCCCCCTCTTCACCTTCAGGCAGCTCTGCTGAGGTCCCAAGTATCCAGGGAGGCCTGCTGGGTGCATAAGGCCTGCCTTATGTCTGAGGGGTACCAGGCTATTCAGTGGCACCCACCCTGACCAGAGAAGGGACAGAACTGTGAGAGGTCACATCACAAATCTATGACAAAGGCCACAAACACTTCACGCCTTCTGATTGTTATCCCAATACTTTTTTCTTTTGTAAGCCATCTGATTATCCAGTCCGCACACAGACATACACACACACACACACACACACACAGTCATCCACACCCTCACAATAAAGAAAGAACCTAATGAATGAAAAGCCTGGCCAGCCCAGGCTAGTGTTCCGTCTCCGCCAACAGCCACAAGGAATCTTTTGTGGGCGCGTATAAGGACTGTCACACGAGTATCTACAGGGATATCTCTGCAAAGCTCTTGCTCGATCATCTACGAACTTATCTACATTCTTTTCCAGTATATACATGGTGCTTCAATAGATCTCTTCAACTTACGTAAATCGTAGACAGTATTTCTCAAAAATGTGTTGTGTGCAACTTACAGGTTTTACGTGAACAAATGGTCCCATGATCAGATGACTCTGCAAACACCTGATTAAAGACAGTTAAATGGCTTCTTCATCACAAGGCATCACAAAAGCCTTCAATATTCCAATATGCATGATGAGTCAACTCTTGGTTCTGGCTTGGGTCATGATGTCACAGTTTGTGGGTTCGAGCCCCATAATGGGCTCTGTGCTGCAGTGCAGTCTGCTTAAGATTCTCTTTGTCTCTCTCTTCCCCTCCCCTCTGCTCTATCTCTCTCAAAATAAGTAAACATTTAAAAAAATATTCCGGGGTGCCTGGTTAGCTCAGTCAGTTAGGTATCTGACTTTGGCTCCGGTCATAATCTCACAGTTTCTGAGTTCAAGCCCCTTGTCAGGCTCTGTGCTGACAGCTCAGAGCCTGGAGTCTGCTTTAGATTCTCTGTCTCCCTCTCTCTCTGCCCCTCCCCTACTTGTGCTCACTCTCTCTCGCTCTCTCTCAAAAAAAACATTAAAAAAATGTTAAAAATCCCAATATGCATGATGAATAGCTAAGAGGGGGGGTGTAGAATATGACATCTTCCAAATTCATTTAAACACTGAAATTTTTTCCCTTGGTATATTTTGAAAGGCTGGTGATGCTTTGGGAAACACTGAGAATCAGTGGGATATAGAGGGCAAGTCCTAGAAACTACTACCTCTTTTCAGTGCCAAGAGGCATATTCTGTGACTTGGTTAAGTAGGCTTTGTCCAAACCTAAGTGTACCCCTTGTGAAGGTCCTAGATAGTTAGAATGGCCCCTTAGTCCACTGGGTCAGAGTCATACATCACCGTTGCTGCCCTGGGTGAAAAGCACCCTGGTCTAGAAGGGAGGACATCTGAGCTGATGATGTTTTTCTCTGTTTCAAAATGAGCATGGTGGGCCACATCACAACAGGGAAAATGTGGTCATTATGGAAGAGTCCAGCATCCTGCCATTTTTCTTCTGTTCCGACCTTTAACGAAAGCAATTTTCATTAATGCAAGCCACACTGACCTTGGTGACACAGAACACAAACTAAAAACTTTTAAGTTTTTATTGTTATTTTTTAATTTGTCTTGTTTAGATCTGCCTTCTCTAAAAGACCACTTGGCAAAACATAACAAAACTATCTTGCCTACAAATGTGCAAACACTTCCCTAAGATGTCTGGCAACAACGTGGCTCCCTCATAACATTTAGATGCTTTCAGCATCTTGACACTGACAAAAGGATGTTAGGAGAATTAAATGCAGGGTTGGCAATGGTTCTACCAAAGCCTCATCATGGGACATCCAGAAGGAAAGTTTGCTCCCTGGAAGCCTTTGCTCCAGGGACAGAGAGATCCACATCAAAGAGGAAAATTACTGGACAAACACATTTATCATCACAGTGTGATAGTATCAGCTGCAGTTTGTGGAACAAGCCTGGGAGAACTTCATCTCTCGCTGAAAAGGTTCAACACCATGAGCCACAGAATACTAAAAAATTCATTGCTTACCCCCAAGATGATTCTTTTTGGGCTGTGTTAATAAGCACCCTCACTCCTCTGAACATAACTTGACCTGATATTCTCCTAAACTGAATCACTTGAAATGTCTGAGAAAATGGAAGCTTCTGACCACACCCCTGTATCCTGCCTCTGTGCAAAAAGCAAACATCTCCTCCGCAGTAATGAGAATATGAAAGGGCATGTGGTGCAAGAGGGGAAGAAACGGACAAGGGCATCAGAAGACCGAGGTTCTAGCTACTGTTTAGGCAGCTCTTGTTATGGGGTGAATTGTGCACCCCCAACCCCCCCACCCCGATTCCCATGCTGGAGTCCTAAACACCAGCACCTTGGAATGTGACTTCATTTGGAAATAGGGTCTTTATGGAGATAATCAAGTTAAAATGAGGTCATGAGGATGGGCCCTACTCCAGTCTGACTGATGTACTTGTAAAAAGAGAAGATTGGACAGAGACACCTTTCCTTCTAGATGTCCTGTGATGAGGCTTTGGTAGAGCCATTGCCAATCCTGCATCTAATTCTCCTCAAATCATTTTGTCATGATGATGTGACTAAACATGGGGAAAAGACAGCCATTGACAAGCCCAAGGAGGGACACCGGGAACAGCTTTGTCCCTTCTCGCCCTCAGAAGGACCCAATCCTACCAACACCTTGATGTTGGACTTCTAGCTGCCGCAA